AGTGTTTTTCAAACTCTCATCTCTACAGAGCTTCTGCAGGCATTTGGTCCCAATTTTGCTTCTTAAATATGGTTTTAGGTTTTGTTTACAACTTTTAAAAAACAACAGTGCACAGATTTACATGTTGTATGTACAACATTTTAACTGATGGAGAAGCTAATTTGCTGCCAGGTTTTTGTGGAGACCTAAAAATGTTACTGCCACCTACATATATTTAAACTTCTCCTTTAAAATTTTTTTTTGTTTATAACTTCTTATAAATGTGCAATTGATGACGTTTATTATGGCACCGGTTTTTGCTTAAATGAAGGCCCACCTTTGTCTACTTGGTTAAAATTGTACAAGTTCAGTACTTGCTGTAGAGTACTGTATCATTCTCTGTTACATGCCATTTGGAGGCTGGGCGTGGTGGCTCACGCCTGTAATCCCAGCGCTTTGGGAGGCCGAGGCAGGCGGATCACCTGAGGTTAGGAGTTTGAGACCAGCCTGGCCAACATGGTGAAACCCCATCTCCACTAAAAAATACAAAAATTAGCCAGGCATGGTGGCGTGCACTGTAATCCCAGCTACGTAGGAGGCTGAGGCAGGAGAATCGCTTGAACCCAGGAGGCAGCGTATTAGGAGGAGGCTCATTATTTTTTACTTACTGACTTGGTAATAAGTCAGTATTACAAATTCAAACTTAAACGCAACTACTTTTATTGATTTTTACATATATTTATATGTAATTAAGTATCAAGTTATTAACCCAAATAAAGACAAATACTCTAATCTCAATATGAGTGAATTCAATAGAATTTTAAGATTTCTGAAGTTATAAAATGTTGTGGTTCTAGCTCTGCTATGTTATGCCATCATCCAGTGCAAGATGTGCTCAGTTTCCTCGAGCCCAAGACAAAGTTCATTACTACATAAAACTGAAGGACTTAAGAGATCAGTTGAAAGGCATTGAACGAAATATGGATGTTCAAGAGGTGCAGTATACATTTGACCTACAGCTTGCCCAAGGTACGTTACTGTCCTCATTCCTTTTATTCATTTTGTGTCTATATATACACACATACACATTACATAAAGTATGTTGTGGATTTAAAAGCAGGAGAAAAGAAAACAATTATATTTGTAGCCACAGTGCTCTGATAATGGATGATTATCACGCACACACAGATGTTATCACACACACTCTGATAATGGATACACACACACACACACACACACACACGTATTACAGAAAGTATTTTGTGGATTTAAAAGCAGGAGAAAACAAAACAATTATATTTGCAGCCAGAATGCTCTGATAATGAATATTAGTCACTGTTAAAATCTCCTTTTACCAAGGTCTTCCCTCTACTCTGGCACTCCTACAGATAATTCACCTTCAGAGTGCCAGAGCAGAGGGATGTAAGAAATATTGTACCCTACCTAATGAATATAAGAGGTTTTACAATTCTTATGTGTTTATTTAGTATATGCTATGTTTCAAAGATTAATAGAGACGTATCTCAGTATATGTGAACATTCAAGAAAAATAATTGTTCATTATTTCTGAATAAAGCTACTTTCAAAATTGTTGTACAAAATCAGTTTTAAATCCTTTTTACCCTCCTCACAGAGGATGCAAAGAAGATGGCTGTTAAGGAAGAAAAATATGATCCAGGTTACGAGGCAGCATATGGTGGTGCTTACAGAGAAAATCCATGCAACGGTGAACCTTGCGGCTTCTCTTCAAATGGGCTAAGTATGTTTCCCTCCACATGTGTATTCCTTTCAAAGACGGTTTTGCCAGGATTGGGGGGAAGATTTTAATAGAAGGAGAGTAAATGATTGAAGAATGGGAATGGTAATATGAAATTTAGTGACTAATAGTGAAAAATTGATGGTTATTTCACATTGAATTACACAGACTTTTACAGTGCATTTTCTGTTTGTTTGTTTGTTTTTGAGATGGAGTCTCCCTCTGTCACACAGGCTGGAGTGCAGTGGCGCCATCTCAGCTCACTGCAAACTCCGCCTCCCGGGTTCACACCATTCTCCTGCCTCAACTTCCCGAGTAGCTGGGACTACAGGCGCCCGCCACCACGCCCAACTAATTTTTGTTCGTATTTTTAGTAGAGACAGGGTTTCACCGTGTTAGCCAGGATGGTCTCGATCTCCTGACCTTGTGATCCGCCCCGCCTCAGCCTCCCAAAGTGCTGGGATTACAGGCGTGAGCCACTGTGCCTTGCCTACAGTGGTGCCTGGCCTACAGTGCATTTTCTTCAAGTCATGAACTCTCGGCAATCCTAGTTGCATTTTCCTCCTTTAATAACAAATGAGGATTAATAACAAATGAGTCCTGTATCTGAAAAATAGAACAGAAACTTATGATTGTATTCAGGAAGCTTGCTTAACTATTTTAATAATAATTCTCCTTCACTAGACTGTTAAAATCTCCTACTTTGATCATTTAAAACTTCCAGGTCGGGCATGATGGTTCACAGCTGTAATCCCAGCACTTTGAGAGGCTGAGGTGGGTGGATCATTTGAGGTCAGGAGTTCAAGACCAGCCTGGCCAACATGGTGAAACCCTGTCTCTACTAAAATATACAAAAATTAGCTGGGCATGGTGGCAGGCACCTGTAATCCTAGCTACTTGGGAGGCTGAAGCAGGAGAATCACTCGAACCCGGGAAGCAGAGGCTGTAGTGAGCCAAAATCACCACACTGCACTCCAGCCTGGGTGACAGAGTGAGACACCATCTCAAAAAGAAAAAAAACTTCCAAAGAAGCTGATGTGGTGGCTCACCCCTGTAATCCCAGTGCTTTGAGAGGCTAAGATGGGAGGATCACTCAAGCCCAGGAATTTGAGGCTGCAAAGAGCTGTCATCGTGCCACTACATTCCAACCTGGGGGCGACAGAGTGAGACCCAGTCTCTATTTTAAAAAAAGCAAAAATTTCTAAATGGCATAAACTAACTTTGTCTTTCTGGCAGTTGACAGTGTGGAGTTAAGAGGAGAATCAACTTTCAGTGGCATTCCTAATGGGCAGTGGATGACCCAGTCATTTACAGACCAGATTCCTTCCTTTAATAATCACTGTGGAACACAAGAACAGGAAGAAGAAAGTCATGCTTAAGAATGGTGCTTCTCAGCTCTGCTTAAATGCTGCAGTTTTAATGCAGTTGTCAACAAGTAGAACCTCAGTTTGCTAACTGAACTGTTTTATTAGTATTTTACTCTAGTGGTGTAATTGTAATGTAGAACAGTTGTGTGGTAGTATGAACCTTATGAACCTAAGTAGTTTGAAAGAAAAAGTAGGGTTTTTGTATACTAGCTTTTGTATTTGAATTAATCATCATTCCAGCTTTTTATATACTATATTTCATTTATGAAGAAATTGATTTTCTTTTGGGAGTCACTTTTGATCTGTAATTTTAAAATACAAGTCTGAATATTTATAGTTGATTCTTAACTGTGCATAAACCTAGATATACCATCATCCCTTTTATACCTAAGCAGGGCATGCTAATAATAATTACCACTGTCAAAGAGGCAAATGTGTTGATTTTTGTATATGAAGTTAAGCCTCAGTGGAGTCTCATTCGTTAGTTTTTAGTGGTAACTAAGGGTAAACTCAGGGTTCCCTGAGTTATATGCACACTCAGACCTCTTTGCTTTACCAGTGGTGTTTGTGAGTTGCTCGGTAGTAAAAACTGTACCTTACCTGACAGAGCCCTGGCTTTGACCTGTGTGTTAATCCTCTAGTAGCCAGTAACTACTCTGGGGTGGCAGGTTCCAGAGAATGCAGTAGACCTTTTGCCACTCGTCTGTGTTTTACTTGAGACACATAAATATGATAGGGAAGGAACTGTATTTCTCCATTCATATTTATCACCGTTCTAGTTTTATCTTCCTTGGCTTTAAGAATGTGCCATGGAAAGTGATAAAAAATGAACTTTTAGGCTAAGCAAAAAGATGCTGGAAATACTTCATAATCTCACTTAAACTGGTGCTTTATGTACATGAGATGTACTAAAATAAGTAATATAGAATTTTTCTTGCCAGGTAAATCCAGTAAGCCAATAATTTTAAAGATTCTTTATCTGCATCATTGCTGTTTGTTACTATGAATTAAATGAACCTCATGGAAAGGTTGAGGTATATACTTTTGTGATTTTCTAATGAGTTTTCCATGGTGCTACAAATAATCCAGACTACTAGGTCTGGTAGATACTAAAGCTGGGTACTAAGAAATGCCATTTGCATCCTCTCAGTCACTCCTGAGTATTCTGATTTCATACATACCCAGGGAGCATGCTGTTTTGTCAATCAATATAAAATATTTAGGAGGTCTCCCCCACCCCCAGGAGGTTATATGATTGCTCTTCTCTATGAGAGAAACAAATTCTTGTTGTGAATCTTAACATGCTTTTTAGCTGTGGCTGTGATGGATTTTATTTTTCCTTAAGTCTAGGTCAAACTGTGTAAAAGTCATTTATGTTATTTAAATGATATACTGTACTGCTGTTTACATGGACGTTTTGTGCGGGTGCTTTGAAGTGCCTTGCATCAGGGATTAGGAGCAATTAAATTATTTTTTCACGGGACTGTGTAAAGCATGTAACTAGGTATTGCTTTGGTATATAACTATTGTAGCTTTACAATAGATTGTTTTATTTGAATGGGGAAAATACCCTTTAAATTATGACAGACATCCACTAGAGATGGGTTTGAGGATTTTCCAAGCATACAATAATGATGTTTTTCCTAAAATGACAGATGAGTAGTAAATGTTGATATATCCTGTACATGACAGTATGAGACTTTTTCATTAAATAATATTGAAAGATTTTAAAATTCATTTGAAAGTCTGATGGCTTTTATAATAAAATATATTAAGAATTGTTATCCTTAAGTTATGGGCTTTTTCTGTAGCAAAACTGAGTGGTGTTCTTTCCCCTTTAAACCTGAGGTCAGTTTACCTTGTATTATATTTAACGTAGAATAATAACATGGTAAAAGTCATAAAAATAATGAATATTTTATTTTTCAGACATCCATATTTTAAATGCAATAGTTTTATAAAAGAAAAGATTGGCCACCTGTTAAAAAGATCTACATGTGAAAAATACATTTAGAAGTTTTAAAAATTTGTGGATATAATTATTATTCAGAATTAAGCAGATTGATTACTGGTATCTAGATGGGTCTGTTCCTTTATGTTTTTCAGTCACATAATCTCGATTTCCATAGTTAACACATGTACTTAAAGAAGTCAGTCAATGCCTATATGGTCCAAGGTATAATTTGCACACAGTAGTTTTTGGTTTTTATATTGTGGCTCATCTGTATCAAAGGTAATGTTCATAAAGAACAATGTTATAGTTGGCTACAAAGAGACAATTCCACATTTCTAGACAGGGAATATTTTAAGGGTAGAGTTATATCAGCTATGGTGATTGAGTTTAAATATCCCTGCAGGGTCAGGAACAAACCAGCTTTCCCATAAGTCGTTGTGAACACTAGGGAAGTCCCAAGGTTTATGTCTTCCATTCCAGTGGAGTAATTTAGCTTCCTGCAGAAAATGCTCCGAATATCTGGCATCTGGATTCCAGCCTTCATTGTGTTTAAAGAAAAAATAATAGGCTTGTTAGAGAATAACATTTTTGTATTATAAATTGAATACAAGTTCATAGTTTAAAAAAAGGTAAACAAAAGGGTTATACAGTGAATTTTCTACCCACCCCATGTCTCCAAATCAACCGTTGTTAGTCTCTTGTGAATCCTTCTAGTTAAGCTATAGCATTGTTTGACCTGTATGCATGTATATGTATATTTAAAGACAGAAGATGAGCATACTGCTACCTTGCCTTTAAAAAAAAAATTATTTTATTTCTTTATTTGGACATTGCCTTTTAAAATTACTGTCTTGGAAAACTTTCCACAGCAGTACATGTGGATTTACCAAATTATTTTTAGTGACTGTATAGAATGATAGATAATTATTTATTGACCAAGTTCCTTATTAAGGACATTTAGATTGTTTCTATCCTATCATTAGCATAAACACAGCAATGAACACCCCTCTGTGTATGTCTAGTCTATGTGTACAAATATATCTGTAAGATAAAATATTGTAGGTGGAACTGCTAGATTGAAGGGTGTGTGCCTTTTCAGTTTTGATAGAGATTGCCACATTGTCCCCGAAAAAGTTCTATTAATTTTCCTCCCACCCAAGAGTTTATAGGGGTTCTTTTTTCTCTGCATTTCACCTCCTTAATGAAAAATGGCAACATTTTCTTTTGAACAGTCTTGTCTTCATGTAAAATGTGACTAAGGTCTACTTTTTAAACAGCTATCTCCACCTGAATATTACTCCATTCATAAGTCATCATTTCAAGAGACTATGCATTTACCCTAACAGTGTCATTGCTTAGAATATTTTTTAGAATGCCTATTCTAGAACTACATTAAGGTGGTGTGAATGTAAAATCTAAAAAAAAAATCTCTATAGCGTTCAACTTTCTTTCCATGAAAAGGAATTTGATATATATATATTATTTAAACAGCTGAAAGTCCATTGAATTATGAGAGGGTTGATTTGCTAGGGTTATGTTATTCTAGTGTATGACGTTAACAACAACACAACCTGGCTTTTGTTACTAATAAACATAGCTGTGACGGCAGCTGCAGAAGAGAAACTAGTTGTTTGAAGCTATTGCAGCATAATTGGAATAATTATCAATCATCAGAGTCTACACAAAGGAAATATTCATTTGGGAAGAGGCACCTTCCCGTGAAAAGTCTCTACTAAGGGCATCCTCATCTCTCAGCTTCGTAACTGAAGGGCTATGCAGAACTACCTCAGAGGGGCTTGCAATTTGGGTGATGAAATTGCTTTTAGCTAAATATATTTTGTAAATTTAAAAAATATTAAGCCTGCCTGTTCAGACCCAAACTTAATGCCCATTAGTGTTATGTTGCCCTTCTACCTCCAGAATACCCTAAAACCTCATTTTTCAAATGATTTTTGTGTAGATTTACTTTGCACACCATCCCTGATTCCAAAACCTTCAGCACAGATGGAAGCTCTGTTCTACAAAGAAAAATGACATCTTTCCTTGGGGAAGAATATGTCCCTTCCTACTTGTCAGTAAGTTGGATATTTCTCTCTTTTCTTTTTTTTTTTTTTCCTTTCCTTTTTTTTTTCTTTTGAGATGGAGTCTAGCTCTGTCACCCAGACTGAAGTGCAGTGGCATGATTTCTGCTCACTTCAATCTCTGCCTCCCAGGTTTAGGCTATTCTTCTGCCTCAGCCTCCCGAATAACTGGGATTACAGGCGTGTGCCACCATGCCCAGCTAATTTTTTGTATTTTTAGGAGAGATGTGGTTTCACCATGTTGGCCAGGCTGGTCTTGAACTCCTGACCTCAAGTGATCCACCCACTTCGGCCTCCCAAAGTACTGGGATTACAGGCATGAGCCATCGTGCCTGGTCTAAGTTGGATGTTTCATAAAATGTAATTCTGAGTCTCTGTCTCAAGATCATAAAATGCTGCAACCTTATTGATCTAAGCTCTGCATAACTGTTCCTACACATTTTTAAAAATAGACCTTCTACTTTGATGGGATCTGCACATGGAAAGGTTGATATTTCACCTAATGTTGAACCCAACATGACTCTAAATCAAATCAGACAGAACACTAACTTCCCTATGGCACTCTTGTGCATACACATGCTCAGGAAAATCAGAGGATTCTGGTAATAATGCAAAAGCAATCCACAGAATTATCGAGAGCAAACAGGAACTCAGCCTCCACAATTATATCCTTTTTAAAAAAAAAAAAAAAAAAAAAGATTATGGGACATAACACCTTGCAGGGTTGTTGTGAGAATTAGAAATAATATTCACCTTCCTTAACAGAACCTAGTCCAGTTCTTAGCAATGTAATGGACACTTGGTAAATATAAGTCCATATCCATTGCCTCCAATTCTAAAATAATCCCCAAAGGTCTGAAGAGAAAAGGTTTTTTAATAACTTCTTTGGCAGTAAAACCTAGATCCTACTCAGCACCATATTACCTTTTAAAAATCCAAACCCTTTCTAAAGTTCTAAACAGGTCTGGCCCAGGGGTTTTGGATAAGGGATGGTGGCATGTGTTAGGGTGGATGTGAATGTGAATGTGTCCTCTATGCTAGGCTCTACGCTAAGCCATTTATATGTATTCAGTAATTTACCCAAAATCATAGTTGGGATTCCAATTCATACAAAAACCCTACACTTGTGTAGTGAATAAAAGACTTAAGGAACTCACAGAGAACAGAGTCAACTGCTTTTTAAAGGATAAATTTTAATGGCAGCTTTCTGAATTCATCTTAAGCCATTATGCTAATTTATTTGGTTTTGTCCACTGTAAGTTACTGCAAGAGAAAATAAAAGTGTGGCTTGACAGTTGCATAAAGTTTTGAAGTTTTGGCAGTGAAAGTTTTCTCTCTGTCTCTCTTTTTTTTGTTTGTTTGTTTGAGACGGATTTTTACTCCTGTCACCCAGGTTGGAGTGCAGTGGTGCTGTCTTAGCTCACTGCAACCTCCACCTTCCAGGTTCAAGCGATTCTCCTGCCTCAGCCTCCTGAGTAGCTGGGATTACAGGTGCCTGCCCCCATGCCCAGCGAATTTTTGTATTTTTAGCAGAAACAGTTTTCATCACGTTGATCAGGTTGGTCTTGAACTCCTGACCTTAGGTGATCCACCCGCCTTGGCCTCCCAAAGTGGTGGAATTACAAGTGTCAGCCACCGCTCCCAGCCGAAAGTTCTCTTAACAGTTAATGTTTACTGAGCACATACTATATGCTAAGCATGAGTTTGATGGCTTTCCATAAATCTCCAGAAACACGCCCCGCAGGTAGCTAAGAATATCAGCTGCACTTGCAGAATCTGAGCGCTGAGGGTTAGTCACTTGCCCAAGGTCACCTGGAGGATTTGAACTGAACAACCTGGTGCTGTATGTAGCACCCTCTCCTCGCCATGGTGCTCACTGGATCTATAAAATGCACATTTGCGGCCGGGCATGGTGGCTCATGCCGTAATCCCAGCACTTTCGGAGGCCAAAATGGGTGGATCACCTGAGGGCAGGAGTTTGAGACCAGCCTGGCCAACATGGTGAAACCCCATCTCTACTAAAAATACAAAAATTAGCTGGGCGTAGTGGCACACGCCTGTAATCCCAGCTACTCGAGATGCTGAGGCCGGTGAATTGCTTGAACCCGGGAAGCGGAGGTTCCAGTGAGCCAAGATTGTGCCATTGCATTCCAGCCTGGGTGGCAGAGCGAGACTCTGTCTCAAAAATAAAAAAAATTAAATAAATGGACATTTGCGTTTTTCTAAATCGTTTTTCTAAAATACTTACCCAGGTGCCTTATGTGCCACAGGGGGTTAATTGTGGAGTACTTCCCATGGAACACAATCAGCATTGGGGAGGTGGCCACCCCTCCTCCCAGGGAGCTGCTATAGAGGTTTTCCCTAAGAAATGAAATAGAAAAACAACATTTGGCCTGGAGGCCCCACAAACTCAGATAAAGTCGAATCTAATATTGTAAACGATGTAAGACATTCTCTCACTATGTACTAAGACTTACGGCCTTTCATTCTCCCCCAACTTCCATTTTGAAAATTGTCAAACGTACACAAAATAGTAAAATATCATGAACTCCAATATACATCACCTAGACTAATAGTATTAATATTTTGCCATTTTAACCCCCAGGGTTTTAAATAGTAGACACAGGAGATCAAATTCGAATCCTACATTATTTAGAATAACTTTACTTGCAAATTCAAGGTTATGATGGTATTTAAATATCCAGATGCACAAGACTGCTAGGCAATACAATGATGTGATAATCGTGCTTGTATTAGAGTTATTTTTATCATCTCTATTTTAAAACTCTGATAATGAAAAATTATAAATTTTAAAAATCAACCTTAAAAAGCAAAGTTGATTTTATATAATAATCCTTAATAAGAAATCTACGTTAGAAGGGGAAACTCAACTAAGATAAATGAAGATTGTTGGGTGGAAAAGATTCAAGTCACATTTTTCAACGGCTTACTAGGAAAATGTATAATCAGGGACTCCTCACTCCACAGGATCTTGATTCCTCTGATTTATATCTTTTGAGGAAAGATTTTCATTGACTGTCCCCTTTTCTTTCTTAACATTGCCTCTGTAAGAAAATCTGACCTCAGATGACTGTGAAATATTTCTAACCCTTGAACTACGCGTGGAAAATTAACTGAATGATTTTGTTTCCAAGCATGGAAAAAATGGTAGAGAAGCCTTCACGTACTCCACATTCTTTTGCATCCATTTCTCCAATTGCTTGGTGATGCGCTGGTGCTTCCATTCTGTCATGTTGGCAACAATCACACCAGGATTGAAAGAGCAGGTGCTGGGGCTGATGCCGAGGTCCTTGATGGCCTTCTTCCGGTAGTCCAGATAGCCCATATATGTATTCTGTAAGGGAACAGGATGTGCATGCTTTTGACCAGTGAATCTTTTATTTCTGGAAAATGATCATTTTCTTGAAACCTTTGTGCAGTATCTCTGGGTTTCCTCTTGTGTTACTGGCCACTTGGTAGTTTGTTGTTTTTGTTTTGTTTTGCTGGTTTCCCTCATTTCTCCAACCGCTAAATGCTGAATGCCCTAGGTCTGAGTGCAGCACTAGTGCCTTTCTCTAGCAATAACTCCATAAACAGCCTTGTCCAGTCTCATGGCTCTAAATATCACCCATCTGACAGCCCTGACCTCTCCTCTGGACTTCCAACTCCTGCTACATCTGCCATCCAAATGTCTCCTTTCAGATGCTTAGTAAGGCAGCTCTAACTTATATCCCAAAATTGACCCCAATCCTATCCCAAACTTGCTTCCCTGCATCTGCCCCACCTCAGTCAGTGGCAACTCTATCCTTCTAGTTACTTGGGCAAAAAAACCCGGGGTCATTAGGTCCTCCTTGACTCCTTTTTTGTCACTCTCTTCTCATCCAAATCTTTCAGCAAATCCTGTTGGTCCCATCTTCAAAATGCCAGAAGCCAACCACTTCTCTTGCCACTACTGCTACCTTCCTGTTCAGGCCATAATTGTCACTCACTGGATTTCTGCAAGTTCCTCCTAACCAGTATCCTTGCTTCCACTATTTTCCACCCCACTCTGTCTCTAGGTCACTCATCTCCTCTAAGCTCCTCCAATAGCTTCCCATCTCATTCACAGAAACAGCCAGAGTTCCTAAAATGGCCTGCCATACCCTATATCATCTGACCCTCCAATACCTCTCCAACTCCTGTTATTCTCCTCTCGATCCCTCAGCAACAGTGACCACCTTTAATGAACCAGACTCACCTCTGCCTCAATATCTTTACACCACTTCTTCCCGCTTCCTGGAGGGTTTCCCCGCTAACCACCTGCACAAGTGGTTCCCTCGATTCTTTCAAGTTTAGATTCAAACAGCACAATCTCGGTGGAGCCTTCCCTGATTACCGTATTTAAAATACAGCCCTGCCTCCACCCCAGTCCTCTGTTAAATATTTTATTTGTTTACTGTCTGTCTGTTCCCACTAGAATGTGAAATACACAAAAGCAAGAGTTTTCATTTTGCTCACTGTATTACTAGCACCTAAAACAGTGTCAGGCACAGAGTAAGCACTCAATAAGTAGTTGTTGAATGAATGTAGTGTGGGGCAAGACATACACATTCTTTCACCCATCTAGACTGTCATAATCTATAATTCCTTAATGTGATGCTCTCAAACCTCACACAGGAGTCATGGAAATACTTGAGTACTTTCCATGCACCAGGTCCTTTTCTAAGAACTTTACATGTACTACCTCATTACTCTCATGTAATAGCTTTGTATGTATTAACTAATTTAATTCTCACAATAACTACAAGGGAAGTACTATTATTACTTCTGTTTGACAAATGAGGTAGAAACAACTGGCTAAGTAAATTGCCTGAGGTCATAAAACTACCAAGTGATAGTGCCAAGATTTTGACAAAATTGAATCTGGTCGCCGAGCCTATGCTTTGAAGTGCCTTAAAATGCCACACACATAAAATTGTTTGCTAGAAGCTTTTTTGAAAAACAGCATTCAACTCTTAATAACACCTCTTATTTCAAAGCTACCCCTTTAGTTTCAGCATTGCATGTAGGTTCAACTTTCTGATGTAGGTTCCATCAGAGTAAGGAGATCTTTACCCTTAACAAAATCAATATTTTCTTCTACTGGAAGGGGGCTAAAAGCGATGGTCAAAACTCTGAAAATAGAACCAATGGTTCAGCAAGTCTCTTTAACAGAAGACATCATCTCTGACAGAGAGCATGGTGATGAGCCACCTAGGTAACAATGATCATTTCTGGAGCTTTTATTTCATGCTGGACACTTGGACATCATGTTATTTCATTATTGCCCACAAAGACACAACAAAGTAGACATGATTGTTCCCATATTTCAGGTAAGGAAGGTGGGACTTTGCAGGGTTAAAGTAAGTCATCTCAGAGTTGGTAAGGCATGGAGCTGAGATATGAACCAAAGTCCCAGACCCCTGTACTGTTCCACCTCCCAGCAGTCCAGACTGGCCCATAAGGATTTCAAGGTGGAGGTTACACTCATTTTGAGTTGCAGAGCGGGGAGAAGGGGCCAGAGTTGTAGGGTGAAGGGAGGACTTCCGAGACAGCATATGCCCACCTGAAGTCCCACGAGTCTGTTGATATCCTGAGCAGAGGGCAAATCGCAGTCATCTGAAAAAGCCGCTGCATGGCCCAGGGCCAAGGTGGTGTCATAAAGTTCTTGGATATCACCTGAATTTAGAAACACCAGCAATTAAAACATTATAGCATTTGTTTTCGGGCTAGATAGAGCCTTAGAGCTTAAACAGTTCTTGATTTTGCTATGGGAGAAGAGTATTGGATCCCTGATTTCAAGTGGCTTGACAATTTATTTAGTAAGAGTCATGCCTACAGATTTAGAAAGCCACTTAATGATGAGCTCAAATTGGCACTGATCTAATTTCTTTATTTCTGTTGCTCAGTAGGTACCACACCAATGCGTATCCTGTTTGTAGTGGAAGAGACAGAACACAACATTTAAACACCAAAACTTAGCTCACTCCTAAGACTGTCATCTGTGACACTTCATTTCCATACATTATAGGGATATAGGGAAAGGAAAGGCTACCAAGCTATTTATTGCAGGTATTGACAATCAGAGTCAAACTGGATTGTCTCGGTAAGTATCAACCCGTTTCCAAAATACTTCCACATTTACAACAATACTGTACTCACAACTTAAATAAGCAGTCAAAACTCAGTGAGCATTAGCTATTTGAAAAATGAAGAGAGACAGTTATTCTACTTATCAGCTGCTTCTTTTCCAAGTGTTCTTGGCAGTTAGCGAGAGTACCTTGTACAATTACATCATCGTCCAAATAGATGACTTTCTCGTGTTGGTGGATAAGTAGAGGGAGATAAAATCGAACAAAGTTCAGCTGTTAAAACAACAAAAGAAATGATGGTGGGGGAGAAGCATATGGCTTAGTGTCTTCTAGGGTTACTGGAGAGTCGGCTTTGACCATGGCCTCCGCTCAGCTCCAGGTTTGGAGCGGAATGAAACAGGAGCTAGCAAGATGTCTCATCTGAGCTTCCCAGTGCCCAACTTATCTGAGGCCTGGAGCTGAAGCCAGTGCTGGCGGACCAGCTGTTCTGCTAGATCCAAACCCCCTAGTGCCGAGGCTGTTGCCACTTTCATCTCTGTGAACCGCTGCAGTGGGAGTCACAGAGGCTCCTTAGTCAATCTTTTACGGCACAAATCACCTGCCTTTCTCTACATGCAGTAATGTTGATAATTGTCAATTAAATCAGCCTTAAATACACACACACACACACACACACACACACACACACACGTCATCCCAACAGCAAGCTCAACCTTTTAGCTCCTTGAACCAGAAAAAGGAGCAGTATGACCTGTGTGTAGGAACTTCGAAGTTTCACTACTGACAACATTGCTTAATCTGAAGTCTTAGCTTGTACTCTGACAATATCTGGAACTGGGGAGAGACCACATGGACAGAGGTCTCAGAATTAAGTAAATTTTCAGGGATGAATTTAAGTAACAATCATATGTAAAAGGTGGCTGCAGTTTCTGTAAAACTGCTATCAAAAACACCACTATTGTCTTTTTTTCTTTTTTGAGACAGGGTCTCACTCTGTTGCCCAGGCTGAAGTGCAGTGGCATGATCACAGCTCACTACAGCCTCAAACTCCCAGGCTCAAACAATCCTCCCACCTCAGCCTCCTGAGTAGGTAGCTAGGACTACAGGGGTGTGCCATCATGCCTAGCTAATTTTAAAAAATATATTTTTTTGAGACAGAGTCTCATTCTGTCACCTAGGCTGGAGTGCAGTGGCATGATCTCAGCTCACTGTGACCTCTGCCTCCCGGGTTCAAGCAATTCTCCTGCCTCAGCCTCCTGAGTAGCTGTTACTACAGGTTCTTGCCACCACACCCAACTAATTTTTGTATTTTTAGTAGAGACAGGGTTTCACTATGTTGGCCAGGCTGGTCTCGAACTCCTGACCTCGTGATCTGCCTGCCTCAGCTTCCCAAAGTGTTGGGATTACAGGCATGAGCAACCACGCTTGGTCACTAAATAAAACTTTTAAAGTATAAATGGGGTCTCAATATGTTGCCCAAGCTGGTCTCAAACTCCTGAGCTCAAGCAATCCTTCCCACTCAGCCTCCCAAAGTGCTGGGATTACAAGCACGAGCCAGCACATCCGGCCAAAAACACCACTTGTTATGCAGGAGAGGGTCCCTTTGGTAAGAACTCTTGCAGTAAAATACCTTAAGATTCCCAACGCTAGGAAAAGAGTTGGTGTCTCCTGAATATATTATCTTAGTCAATACTAGGAAGTATGTAATCCATCAGGCTACTGTTTTTTCTTAACTATCGGACACTCAGAGGCAGATTTAATGTACAATCACAGTTAAATATCCCAACAGCCGGTGGGTTTGGGATACTTTTTCCTGGCCTCAGCTACCTGGTCCTTCTCCAGCTCCCACCCCCACAGACATATTCACACCCGTAAATGCATTCTACATTTTTTTAATGCTTCACTTCTTCTTTAATAAACTTCATTATGCTTCTATAAACCATCTTAAATCCTTTCTGTAGCAGCTGGCTTATAAATTACACATAAGCAGAGTTTGGTGGAGATCAACACCACAAGGCTTCAAAAATAATATTCCACATGCATCCCGGTGACTAGCACTCCTTTACTCAACATAGGTCTCACCAAGGACTGTCCGCAGCACCTGTGTGCTCCCTACTTACGGGCTGGAGCAATTCAGGCCTCGATGAGTCTGGTCTGATCTTCCCTTTGAGGACCATCGGGTTGAATTCCACGATTTTAAAGTTTATTTCTCTCAGTTTGGAATGTTCAATCCATTTTCTAAAAAGATGACCAAAAAACCTCTAGTATACCCTTCAATTCTTTCCTCCATTTGCCTATTGCCCCAGGGTCAATCTGTTGCCTCCCTAGAAAGTTAAAATTAAAATGTGTGTAAATTTAGTAGAGTTTAGTCCAATAAATCCTTCTGACCTTTCTCCCCATCTGGTGTGACTTTAAATCTTTTTTTCCCCTCAATCACGTAACTCTTTCTGCAAAGGAAATGAAGCAAAATAGTAGTAACCAAATCTCTCCCCAGATCCAAATAATTTCCCCAGGAAACAGGAAGAATGAAAAGTGTTCTTTCTTATAAAGCAGCATCTGTGATTGCTGGTACTGTCTTCGCCATGTGGTAACAGCTCTGAAATGTTATGAAACAGGACATTCTGAACCCTCAACTTTGATCGAAGTCATTTTTACTCTGTGGTTTCGACTCCAAGGCTGATTTGAATTTACCTTTGTCTCTTTGATTTGGTCCCTTGATCTTCCCCATCTGTCTTCATTCCCCATCTCCTCCCTCTCCCTCTCCCCTTCTGTTTTCTTGGTCTTGCAGAATTTTTGTCTTGTATCCAATTCATAATGAGATTCTTGGTAGAAATAATCTCAAAATAAAATGTCCAATGACTAAAGTCACCTAGGGTAGTATTTGTTGTTGACTAAAAATCAACAAAAGAATTAAATGTGAACAAAATTTAGATCTGCAAAATCTGAAAAAATAATTGGTCATATCAATTAAAAAAAGATAGACTAACAGAAAAACAGGCAAGAGACCTGAACACTTACTTCCAAATGGTTACAAAGTGTGTAGGAAAAGGGTTCAATGACATTAGAAATAAGGAAACCTCAAATTTCTAGATAGCACTGGACACTAATCAAAATGGCAAACTTAAAAAGACTGATTATACTGTTAGTGAGAACATGCTGGATGTTATATGAGTGTGTTTACTTTGTGATGATCCAATAAACTGCACACTGGATTTATGCAATTTTCTGTTTTGGGATTCTACTTCAATGAAAAAAACTTTAAAATATGTAAAAGGGGGCAGGGAGGAGACTGGACAGCAAGAACTGGGAAACAGCCCCTGGCCAAAGTCAGAAAGTCATGAGGCTCATGCCTTTTGTTAAAGACAAACCCTTCCCCAGAAACCTTATACATGCCATCCTTTTGGATTTAGTTATCTAGTTTTCATACCCATGGATAGTTAATGGACTGTTAACAACAGGCTAAGTGAATGATGAGCAATAGTATGATAAGGAGAGTGAGAAATGAGACAGAAAACCAGAAAGCATACACAAGACATCAAAACCCAGGGCAGCCAAGGGCCATTTAGATTACAGGAAAACACCTTACAGATCTCAGTACCTCCTGATGGCACCACTACAAAAACATTTAATTATAAAAGCAGTGTGTAAATATATTCTCCTTTTGAATGATCAAATAATACTGAAACACCCTGAATTTCCCTGCATCAGCACCCTCCCCGATTCCTCTGTCCTCCCAAGAGATAGTCAGTGTTAACAATTTGATAGCTTTCCAGTTATTTTTCTTCACAGAAACACATACATGTTCATGTACACACTTATAGTTAGGGGTCTTGAATTTCATAAAGTAGATCATACTATACGAGTTATACTGCAACTAGCTTTTTCCACTTAACAATATGCCTTGGGAATCTCCTATGTCTGTTTAGACAGAGCGCCTTCTTTCTTTAACATCTGGATCATATTTCACAGTTCATTTAAATATTCTTCCATTGGTGGACATTTCAGCACTTTGAAATGTTTTCACTAGTTCACATAATGCTGAAACTAGCATTGTTGTACACACATTTTGGTAATATGTGCTAGAATTTTTGTAGTACAGATTCCTGGAAGAGGAAATGGCATGTGAGTCAAATTATATATGCATACAACCTTTTGATAGATATTACCATGTTGACCTTGCCAAATGCTTTACCAACTTAGAAAATGCACACTGTGTAAATAAGGAATAAGCATGTCCATTTGCCTGCACTGGGTAATGTTTTTCTGTTTAATTTTTGCCAACTTGATTGAGTGAAGAATTATGTCACTGAAGTGACATATATGTTTTCATTTTTATTTTCATTTTCAACAATGCAAAAATGTTTCAATTCACATTTTCCTATTAATAACATAGAAAAACTTTATTATTTTTTATTTTTGGAGATGCAGTCTCACTCTGTCACCCAGGCTGGAGTGCAGTGGCTCAGCTGATCTCAACTGAGTTCAGTGATCTCAGCTCACTGCAACCTCCACTTCCTGGGTTTAAGCCATTCTCCGGCCTCAGCCTCTCCAGTAGCTGGGATTACAGGCAAGTGCCAACATGTCCAGCAAATTTTTGTATTTTTAATAGGCACGGGGTTTCACCATGTTGGCCCGGCTAGTCTCAAATTCTTGACCTCAGGTGATCTGCCCGCCTTGGCCTCCCAAAGTACTAGGATTACAGGAGGGAGCTACTGCGCCTAGCCTTATTTATTTATTTTTAGCTGAAATAAGGTCTCACTCTGTTAGCCAGGCTGGAGTTAAGTGGTGCAATCTTATCTCACAGCAGCCTCAAACTCCTGAGCTCCAGGGATCCTCCCACCTCAGCCTCCCATGAAGCTACATATAACCAACCTCAGCTAATTTCTAAAATTCTTGGTAGAGACAGAGGTCTTGCTATGTTGCCCAGGCTGCTCTCGAGCCTGACCCCAAGTCGTCCTTTTTCCTTGGCCTCCCAAAGTATTGGAAATATAGGAGTGAGCCATCTCACCCAGCCTACAATACCTTTTCACGTTTTTGGTCATTTGTATGTTTTTCCTCTGTGAATTGTCTGGTTATATTCTATGTCCATTTTTTAACTATGTTTTTAAAATTTTTGTGTTTTTAAAATTTTTGTAACAATTCTGTATTTTGGATAGTAATTCTTTGTCTATAATAGATGTTAAAATACTTTGTCCTGGTCAGGAGCGGTGGCTCACACCTGTAATCCTAGCACTTTGGGAGGCCGAGGCGGGTGGATCACGAGGTCAGGAGATCGAGACCATCCTGGCCAACATGGTGAAACCCCATCTCTACCAAAAATACAAAAAAAGTTGGCCGGGTGTAGTGGCGGGCGCACCTGTAGTCCCAGCTACTCAGGAGGCTGAGGCAGGAGAATGGTGTGACCTGGGAGGCGGAGCTTGCAGTGAGATCACGCCACTGCACTCCAGCCTGGGTGACTGAGCAAGACTCCTTCTCAGAAAAAAAAATATATATATTTTGTCCTAATCTATTATATGAATAGCTTCACTTGTATTTTTCATCATTGTAAACTTTTTCAATGTTATGCAGTCAAATCTGTGCACTTTTCTTGATGATTTCTGGGCTGAGACACACTCCATACCAAAATTTTACAATTATCTTTCATTTTTATAATATGTTCAAATTTTAATTTTCTGTTTATTTCTTCTTAATCCAAAAATAAAGGAAATCAATTTAAGGAAATATAAGAAAGTAGAGGCCAGGTGTGGTGGTTCACACCTGTAATCCCAGCATTTTGGGAGTATGAGGAGGGAGGATTGCTTGAACCCAGGATTTCAAGACCAACCTAGGCAACAAAGCTCTCCACAAAAAATTAAAAAATAAGCTGGGTGTGGTAGCATGCACCTGTAGTCCCAGCTATTTGGAGGTGGAAACAGGAGGACTGCTTGAGCCAGGGAGGTCAAGGCTGCAGTGAGCTGTGATTGCACCACTCCACACTCCAGTCTGGGCAACACAGCAAGATCCTATAAGAAAGAAAAGAAAAGAAAAGAAAAGAAAAGGAAAAGAGAAGTGAAAGGGAAAGGGAAAGGAAAGGAAAGGAAGGAAGGAAGGAAGGAAAGAAAGAGAAAAAAGAAAGAAAGAAAGAAAAAGAAAGAAGGAAAGAAAGAGAGAGAGAAAGAAGGAAGGAAGAAAGGAAGGAAGGGAAAGAAGGAAGGAAGGAAGGAAAGAAGGAAGGAAGGAAGGAAGGAAGAAAGAAAGAAAAAGAAAGAAAGAAAGAAAGAGAAAGAAAGAAAGAAAGAGATAGAAAGAAAGAAAGACGGAAAGATGAAGAAGAAGAGGGAGAGGGAGGGAGTGGGGGGAGGGAGGGAGGGAAAGGAAACAGAAAGTGCCAAAGTCTGCAAGACACAATTTACCGTATTCGAGTCAGAGTATTCCGGAGTCCCACTACATAGAACAAGATGTTGGCGTCAGTGTTGCTGTAGATGCTATTAATGGCAGCCATAGTGGCACCCATCCTCCCTGCTGCAGCACAAATCACCACAGGAATCTCTTCTTCCAGTTCTTCAGGAGTCTCGGATTCATCATCTGGAAACATCAAAATTGGTGTCTTGGAACATGAAAGAATTTCACAGTAGAGCCAGTTTAATGCATCTTCCACAGTCCTGGGGGAAGATGGCATAGTGTGGAAGAGGCTGCTGATTGTTCTCCAATATCTAGTCGTTCTGTCTTCCCTTAGAAAAGAACTTTGGAATTTTAGCTGGCACATAGCCAACCACGAAGACTGGTTTACCAGACTCCCGTGCAGCTCTATATGATTGAGTTCTGACCAATGGGATGCTAGTAATGTGTGCCACTGCTGGGTCTACCCTTCAAAGGAATGCTCACCTACCCCCTTGCCTTTCCCCTTTCCCATTGGCTGGACTGTTGATATGACGGCAGGAGTTAGAGTAGCCAGCTTAGACCACAAGATGGAAGCTACTTGTTGAGGTCACCAAAACTATAATATAGACGAGATCTTGATCTGGATAATTGTGGAACTGATACATCAGACTTATACTTGAGAGAAGAAATAAACTTCTATTTTGTTTATGTCACTATTGAAACCATACTCCCAAAGAGTTAAAGAAACCAATGACTAATAAAAATTCTTCAGTTTGCAGAATGATAGATTAGAACAAAAAAAATTGCTGAAATGATGAAACTCTCTCTCCTTCTGAGATTAAGAAACTGGCTGAAATCAGTTGGAGCCAATCTGGTCAACTGAAGTTTGTTCAGAACAAGCTTGCTGATGTCACAGCTTGGATTTCCGCCCCGTGTTTCATACTAACTCCTCCCAGATTTGCACATGAGACCCATGAGTAGCATGAAGAGATAACTGTGCATGCCCCAGGACTTTTTAGACCTCCTCTTCCCTTCCATCAATCACCTACTAATCCCAGAATCCATCCCTGAGCCTTTTCTAATAAAATTACTGCCTTAAAATCTCCTGTCTCCTTGTTAGTCGATTTACAAGAAAAAGCTTTGCTTTTCTCAGAACCTGGGGTCATAGTGTTGGATTCTAGCACATCAGACAGCCAGCCCTTTTGATCATAACACAAAATCTATATTTTGGAGCTATCTTACAGGAGTCAGTTGGCTAGCCTAAAACACACACACAGTTAAAAAACATACAAAGAACTGAAAAGCCTCATTTGTCCAACAGTCCTCAGCTCTTCCCTGAATCAGAATATTTACTTTGCCTACACTGCTATAAGATACTCGTGATTTTCCCTCTCCTATCCCCACTCTAGTCAAGTTTCTCAAATGTTGACAGCAAGAGGAAGGAGGTAAAGGAAAGAGCATGACTAATGCACAAGATAAATAATTTTTCTTTTGAGCCTGGCTATGCTATAAAATACCAAAGTCATAACATCATACTTTAGTGTCACAATACAACTTTCAGCCATGGAGAAGAATAATGATCCATAAGTAGAGTATCCAGTATCCACTATAAAGTATTCATCTGATTTTTAGTTAAAGCTCTCTCTCTGTGTGTGTGTGTGTGTGTGTGTCTCTCTCTCTCCACCCCCTTTCTCCCCCTGCCGCTTCTCTTTCCAGATCCTTTTTGGAAAACCTCTATCCCTGAGGTCCAGGGTAGTTCTAGCTGATATTTCATTCAATAAACATTTCTTGAAACTAACTACCAGGTACTGTGTTTTGTGTAATTTAAGACACGTTGAATGGCCTCCTCTTTCTCCTTCTACATCTTTTCTACCAGCTAGCTACTGCATCTGAAATTTCCACCACTAGAATAATTTTGTTTTCACAATATATATACTGACATGAGAGAATGCTCATAAAACACTGTTAAGGAGGAAAATACAAAATTCTCTCTAGTATTTGATCACAATTTGATACGTACATATTTGCAAATGGACCTATGTCTATTTATGGAGTTAGGAGTGATTTTGATTTTATTTATATTTCTTATACTTTCCAAAGTGACTAAAGTAACCATGATATGGTACAGCTCTGTGTCCTCACCCAGATCTCATCTTGAATTGTACCCCCATAATTCCCACATGTTGTGGGAGGGACCAAGTGGGAGATAATGTGAATCATGGGGGTGGTTTTCCCTATACTGTTCTCATGGTAGTGAGTAAGTGTTATGAGATCTGATAGTTTTATCAGGGATTTCTGCTTTTGCATCTCTCACTTTCTCTAGCTGCTGCCATGTTAGAAGTGTCTTTCACCTCCTGCCATGATTCTGAGGCCTCTCCAGTCATGTGGCACTGTAAGTCCAATTAAAACTCTTTTTCTTCTCAGTCTCAGGTATGTCTTTATCAGCAGCATGAAAACGGACTAATACAGTAAATTGGTACCTGTAGAGTGGGACGTTGCTGAAAAGATATCAACAAATATGGAAGCAACTTTGGAATTGGGTGACAAACAGAGGTTGGAACAGTTTGGAGGGGTCAGAAGAAGACAGGAAAATGTAGGAAAGCTTGGAACTTCCTAGAGACTTGTTGAATGGCTTTGACCAAAAGCCAGTTAGAGACATGGACAATAAGGTCCAGGGTGAGGTGGTCTCAGATGTACATGAGAAACTTGTTGGGAACTGAAGCAAAGGTGACTTTTGTCATGTTTTAGCAAAGAGACCAGGGGATTCTGCCCCTGCTCTAGAGATTTGTGGAACTTTGAACTTGAGAGAGATAATTTAGGATATCTGGTAGAAGAAATTTCTAAGCAGCAAAGCATTCAAGAGGTGGCTTGGATGCTGTTAAAGGCATTCCAGTTTTATAAAGGAAGTAGAGCATAAAAGTTCAGAAAATTTGCAGCCTGACAATGTGATAGAAAAAAAAACCAAAAAACATTTTTTAAGGAGAAATTCAAGCTGGCTGCAGAAATTTGTGCAAGTAACAAGGAGGAAAATGTTAATCCCCAAGACAATGGGGAAAATGTCTCCAGGGCATGTCAGAGGTCTTCACAGATGCCCCTCCCATCACAGGCCCAGAGGCCTAAGAGAAAATGGTTTTGTGGGCTGGGCCCAGGGTCCTGTGCTGTATGCAGCTTAGGGATGCGGTGCCCTGCGACCCAGCCACTCCAGCCATGGCTGAAAGGGGCCAACATAGAACTTGGGCTGTGGCTTCAGAAGGTGCAAGCCCCAAGTTTCGGCAGCTTCCACACGGTGTTGAGCCTCTGAGTGCACAGAAGTAAAAAAAATGGGGTTTGGGAACCTCCACCTACATTTCAGAAAATGTATGGAAATGTCTGCACGCCCAGGCAGAAGTTTGCTGCAGGGGCGGGGGCCTCATGGAGAACTTCTGCTAGGGTAGTGCAGAGGAAATGTGGGGTAAGAGCCCCCACACAGAGTCCCTACTGGGGCATTGCCTAGTGGAGCTGTGAGAAGAGGGCCACCATCCTCCAGATCCCAGAATGGGAGATCCACTGACAGCTTGCACCGTTGCTGGAAAAGCTACAGATACTCAATGCCAGCCTGTGAGATCAGCTGGGAGGGAGGCTGTATCCTGCAAAGCCACAGGGTAGAGCTGCCCAAGACCATGGGAACCCACCTCTTGCTTCAGCATGACCTGGATGTGAGACCTAGAGCCAAAGGAGATCATTTTGGAGCTTTAAAATTTGACTGCCCTGCTGGATTTTGTACAAGCATGGGGCCTGTAACCCCTTTGTTTTGGCTAATTTTTCCCATTTGGAATGGCTGTATTTACCAAATACCTGTACCCCGATTGTATCTAGGAAGAGGAAGTAACCAGCTTGCTTTTGATTTTACAGGCTCATAGGCAGAAGGAACTTGTCTCAGATGAGACTTTGGATTGTGGAGTTTTGAGTTAATGCTGAAATGAGTTAAGACTTTGGGGGACTGTTAGGAAGGCAAGATTGGTTTTGAAATGTGAGGACATGAGATTTTGAGGGACCAGGGGCGGAATGATATGGTTTGGCTCTGTGTCCCCACCCAAATCTCATCTTGTATTGTACTCCCATATTTCCCACATGTTGTGGGAGGGACCCAGTGGGAGATAATGTGAATCATGGGGGTGATTTCTCCCATACTGTCCTCATGGTAGTGAATAAATCTCATGAGATCTCACGGTTTTATGGGGGATTTCCACTTTTGCATCTCTCATTTTCTTTTGCTGCTGCCATATAAGAAGTGCCTTTTGCCTCCCACGTGATTCTGAGGCCTCGCCAGTCATGTGGAACTGAAAGTCCGGTTAAACCTCTTTTTTCCCTCAGTCTTAGGTATGTCTTTATCAGCAGCATGAAAACAGACTAATACAAACCATGAGTTATTTTTATAAACAAACCCCAAAAAAAGTTTCTTAAGGATTATTCCTTTTGGACTAAGTTATAATCTTATGGAAGTATCATGTGACATGTTACCTGCTGCCCGTGAAGTGATCGGCCACAAATGCGAATTTGTCTATGTTTCTTCATTGCTGGAAAGTTCCTCATTGGTTCCTAAAAGGTAAAGCCACATTTCTTCGCCTGGCACAAAAGGCCCCTCATGATCTAGCCCCTGCTTACTTCTCCAGCCTCACCTCCTTCTATTTTAGCAACATCAAACTCCTCGTGGTTCCCTGAACACTACTCTTATCTTAGTGCCTTTGCACATGATGTTCCCAATGCCTGGAATGCTTTCAATATCCTTTTCTGCATGGCTAACCCTTACATAGTCATTCCAAATGCAGTATCAACATCATATCCTCTGGGAAGCCTTTAACAGCTCCCTACACAAATTAACACACATCTTCTCTATGCTGTGGCCTTGCCTATGGTTGAATTTATTAATTGCATTGGAATTTATTTGGTTGCATGTCTTCCCTCTTTCTCCTATTATACTAGGAACTCTGTGAGGGCGGGTATCTTGTTCATCTCTGTATCCTCTGCAGCTGTCCTAGTGCCTGGCACATAGTACATTTTCAATACAATCTGAACAGATGGGTGAATATTAGATATCTCTATTTGAGCACTTGCCACAATGCACTGGAAGAATCTATTTATGTGTCTGTCTCCTCCACTAGACTATAAGCTCATTATACTATCCCCACTGAGTCTGGCACTTTAGAAGTGCTTAATGAAAGTTTGTTGGAATGAACTAAATGGAATTGATGAATGAGCTTCAGAAAACAGGGCCCTTGAGGAATAAGAGGGAAGGGTCAAAAAGCTGGGGCTGTGCCTGGCTGCCAGACTCAGGCAGAGGCCTTCATCAGACAGTGGGAAGCACAAGGTAAAAGGAAAGTGTCCTCATAAAATAGGGGACGCTCCAGAAGAAGGTCAAACATTGAGTGTCCAGCTCTGCTGCCAACACATGACACTGCCACGCTCCTTAGGGGCCTCTGCCAGGTAGAGAAACTGAGCACTAACCTAAGCCAAAAATGCTGTTCTCTGCCAAAAAGTTTCCCCTGGACAGAAAGAAGGACAAACGCACACTGGAGAAATGTGGCGGAAAGGCTTATCAACTGTACCTTCTTCATCAATGCTCCATCCTTGCAGTTTCTTTAGGAATTATCTGCTCCACTATTCGGATTCATTGTACCAACTGGTGCCTGAGCCAAAGCATTAAAAGGTTGGCTATGGGAAACTATTTGGTGCCTAACAAAAATAGTAAACATCACAATGCTGGCAGAATGGAATAGAAATGATACTGCCTTTGTCCTTTCCATAAGCAGCTCTGATCAAGCCACGCCTATTCCTAGAAGAAAGGAAATGTCTGCTCTCCTAATGCCATGACTCAGAATTCATTTCAAATAAGGATTGTTTTAGCCAAGTGTATCAGCTTACCTCTCCCCAAGTGGGACAGCTGAGTGACCAGCACACTAATCACAAGAAAAGTACTGGGAGATTACATGCAATGTCACAATAGAGATATTACAGAGAATTCCGCCATGTTTTACTTGAACATAGGACTTCACAGGACCTCTGGACATTAACTTAGAACACTAGTTCTTTGAATTAATGTTTTTTAAATTATAAAAAATAATATGCAATTATTGAAAAAATTTCAGCCCAAAGAGAAGAGTATTTGGTAAATTGTGACTGTTTTCTGCAGACCTCTCACTCCCACTCCGAAAGTAGACCTCTGCTTTATAACAATATATAACACAACCAGTGTGGTGTGTGCCCCCTAAACCCTTCTTCATGGTAATACTAAAGCATATATACCTGGGCCAGGCGCAGTGGCTCACACCTGCAATCCCAGCACTTTGGGAGGCTGAGGTGGGCAGATCATCTGAGGTCAGGCATTTGAGACCAGCCTGACCAACATGGAGAAACCCCGTCTCTCCTAAAAATACAAAATTAGCCAGGCATGGTGGCGCATACCTGTAATCCCAGCTACTTGGGAGGCTGAGGCAGGAGAATCGCTTGAACCTGGAGGCGGAGGTTGTGGTGAGCCGAGATGGCACCATTACACTCCAGCCTGGGCAACAAGAGTGAAACTCTGTCTCCAAAAAAAAAAAAAAAAAGAATATATACCTTAAACACTTATTATTTAAAAGCCAAAATGGAATCATACTTTTCAGTCTCGTCTGCAACTTCCTCTTCCCACTTAACATACCACAAGCATTCTTCCATACCAACACTACATTCATTTGAATGGTATTTTATAACATTGATTTTTTTAAAAATTTTAACACGGAATGGATAAACATGTGATAACGGATCCATTCATGTGGTCCAAATGCTTTGTTTCTCTGTATAGGTCTGATTAGTCAGTCAGGATGTGTATTTCTTTAGAGCTGTTTTAACAACTGTTTTAAACTCTATCCACTTCCTTCTCTGAAGAAGGGAGTCTGTGGTGGGATTAGCTGAGCGAATGTGTTGGTTTATGAGCAGGGATTGAAGCGTGAAGAGTGGAGTCAGTTCAGACGACACTTGTCTTTATGTAACTTCCTTCTCTCTCTCTCTTTTAGAACAGCTTATTGAGGTGTACATACTGCTATGGACTGAATTGTGTCCTCCAGAATCCATTTGTTAACGTCTTAGCTCCCAGCATCTCAGGATGTCAGCGCACTTGGAGACAGAGCCTTTAAAGAGGCAATTAAGTTAAAATGAAGCCATTTGGTAGGCCTTATCCCAGTAAGACTGGTGTCTTGATAAGAGGAGGAAAAGAGGAGAATCACACAGAGGGTCACAACCAGGAGTGCAGCACAGAGAAAAGGCCACGTGAGGACACAGCAAGAAGGCGGCCATCTGCATGCCAAGGAGAGAGACTTCAGGAGAAACCAAACCAGCTCGCACCTTGATCCTGGACTTCCAGCCTCTAGAACCAGAGAAAATACGTGTCTATGGTCTAGCCACCTAGTCTGTGCTATTTTGTTATGGCAGCCCAAGCAAATGAATACAGATTTTTTTCAATTTACACATTGTAAGTGTACAGTTCAATAGTATTTAGTAAATTTATTGCACAACCATCACCACGATCTAGTTTTAAAAAGTTCCATTGAGCTGGCTGGTCTGCAGTCAATCCATTCCCACTCCCAGCTCTAGGCAACCACTGATCTGCTCTGTGTCTCCACAGATTTTCCCTTTCTAGAAATTTCATACAGATGGACTGATACAATATATGGTCTTTTGGGTCTGACTTCTTTTATTTAGCATAATTTTTTTTCAGGTTTATCCATATTGCAGCTTGTATCAGTCATTTGTTCCTTTTTACTGCCGAAAAGTATTTCATTGTGTGGGATGAATTACATTTTTTGCATTCCTCACTAGTTGATGTACATGTGAATTGTTTCCAGTTTGAGGCTACTATGAATTATGCCCTAAGAGCTTCTGTATATATGTCTTTGTGTGAAAATCATTCTCTTTGCAGATTCTATTTTCATTTAGATTAGATTATACATGTTTTTAATTATATTTAAATGAATTTTTAAATTACAAAATATAATCAGAAAGAAATGCCAGCATCCTGGGAATAGGGATGTTGTTTTGTTCACTGCTGTGTTTCCAGTCCCTAAGTGTCTGGCTGAAAAAAAAAACAAACAAACTGTGGAATAAATGTATGTAATACACCAAGTAACTGTATTCAGAGTCTCACTCTATCATCCAAGCTGGAGTGTAGTGGCACTATCAGGGCTCACTGCTGCTTAGACCTCCTAGGCTCAAGTAATACTCTCATTCCAGCCTCCCAAGTAGCTGGGACTACAGGCATGCCCCACCATGCCCAGGTAATTTTTTGTGTGCATGCAGACAGGGTCTTGCTTTGTTGCCTAGGCTGGGCTGGTCTCAAGCACCTGGACTCAAGTGATCCTCCTGCCTTAGCCTCCCAAAGTGCTGGATTACAAGTGTGAGCCACCATCGCCAGCCCATAAGTGTGTATTTGTTTGATTGATATAAAATGTAAATCAGCTGGGCACGGTAGCACATTCCTGTAATCCCAGCACTTTGGGAGGCCAAGGTGGAAGGACAGCTTGAGCCCAGGAGTTCAAAACCAGCCTGGGCAGCATGGCGAAACCCATCTCTACAAAAAGTACAAAAAATTAGCTGGATGTGGTGGCACACTCCTGTAGTCTCAACTTCCTGGGGGTGCTGAGGCCAGAGGATTGCTTGAGCCCTGGAGGTCGAGGCTGCAGTGAGCTGCTATTGTGCCACTGTATTCCAGCCAGGGCAACAAAGTGAGATTCTGTCTCAAAAAAAAAAAAAAAAAAGTAAATTAAAAAAAAATTTTTTTAATTATTTATTTATTATTTATTTATTTATTTATTTTGAGACCGAGTCTCACTGTGTTGCCCAGGCTGGAACACAGTGACACGATCTCGGCTCACTGCAAGCTCCGCCTCCCGGGTTCACGCCATTCTCCTGCCTCAGCCTCCCGAGTAGCTGGGACTACAGG